TCGAAGTTGACCCAAACAATTGCACCTAGCCCATTTAAAGGTAAGCCCATGTTAAAACCAACCCAAGCCAATATTACTCTACCGTTTCAATCACGTCATAGCTACTGCCCATTTACTCTCCCAATTTTCTGTCCCAAAAGTATAGCCTCGGCTGGAATTGGACATACCGTCAGCGGCAAAGAACAACTATCCCTAACGCCACTGCCATCACCGTCGGATGAGAGAGAGAAGTATGAGCATCGAATTGCAAAACCTCCATCGCAGTTGAAGGTTGGTAATAGAGGTAGGTCAGAACAAGCATGGGAAGGAAATCTTATCAACGAGCTGAATTCGAAAATTAGTGCTGAAGAGCAGTAGTTGAAATCAGTGGGCTTGAACGAAACGGTATGGGAAGGAGTCTGTGAGGTGTTGCTGAAGCAGGATAGGAACAACAAAGGGAAATTATGGGTTTTGATGGAATTGGACTTGGGAAAGGAAGGGGCCGAATGGATGGGAGACACGAAAGAGATGAAGCAAGCCCCTTTAAACCTTGGCCCAGCTAGATCTAAAATTAATATAGATAGCCCAAGCCCACCAGCCTGTCAGAAGAGGAAGTTTCAGAGGTTTGCCCATTTTGCCGTGGCAATTGCAACTGCAACTTGTGTATACACTCAAGTGGCATGTTAAAGGTTTGTCTCTTTCGTAAAACACCAAAACATCTCAATTTTGGTTATCTTGTCTCCTAAAGAATTGTTTGCATGTTTATGGTTCAGATATCTAAAAAAGATCTCACTGATCGTGATAAGATTCAGCATCTGCACTATTTTATTAGTGAACTTCTTCCATTCCTAAAGCATATTCATCAAGAACAAATTGAAGAAATAGAGGTGGAGTCTAAAATTCAAGGTATATGATTTTTTAAAATCAAATCAGTAAAAGTTCTGAAATTCTTGTATCCTGACAGAACATTTGCATGACAGGTGTACTATCATCTTCAATTGATATAAAACATGCGATTTGTTATAATGATGAGCGTGTCTATTGGTAAGCAATCTCTTTCTTTGACCTAATATGCTCTTTGCACTATTATTCTTATATGTATCATTGTCTCTCTGTCTCGGAGCAGCAACCATTGTTCAACATCAATCATTGATCTTCATCGGAGTTGCCCAAATTGCTCCTACGAGCTATGTCTTAGATGTTGCCAGGAGATTCGTAAAGGTAAGCTTCCTGGAGTTTTTAATAAGCCGATTTTCCGATATGTGGATAGGGGCTTTGAGTACATGCATGGTGGAGACCCTCTACCAAAATCTTTTCAGGCAGAAACTTCAGTAAATGATTCTGGAATGCCTAATGAGTGGGTTGCCAACAATGATGGGAGTATCGTTTGTGCTCCAAGAGAAATGGATGGATGTGGTAGTTGTCATTTAGAACTCAAGTGTCTCCTTTCGAAAGACTGGATCTCAAGTTTGGAAGCTCGAGCACAGAAGATTATAAGAAAATTTACTGTTGACAGAGTTTTTCAGCCACTTTGTTGTGATTGTGACCCTGAAAAATCACGTAGGGCAGCTTCTAGAGAATGTTCCAAGGACAACTACTTGTATTGCCGGGATTCAAAGAACATTCTGAAGGAGGAAGAGCTTTTCCACTTTCGCAGGCACTGGGCTAATGGGGAACCAGTAATTGTTCAAAATGTTCTTGAGCAGACTAGTGGTTTGAGTTGGGAACCAATGGTTATGTGGCGTGCATTAGCTGAACATACAGATTTACAAATCAGTTCAAGAATGTCAGATGTGAAGGCTATTGATTGCCTGGCTGGTTGCGAGGTCATTTTTATAATCTCTAATATTTGTACTGAATAATTTGGCTCATTATATTCTGCTTGGAGATATTGTTGAACACTATATTGATCTTTTTACTTTTCCTGCTCCATTTATTCTTTCGTTTCTCTTTTAGCATTACTACATAGTTATTGAAGGGAATCTAAGTGTAGATAGATTTTAATTTAGTTTCCAATTTAGATGTGTATTTCAGGAAACATAGTAAAGGTTTTATTTAATAAATTTTATAAGATGTTTCCTACTTAGAAAAGGATATTTGAAACTCTGTATAAAGGGGACTTATGTATTGTAATAGTTTCTCAAATTCTACTTCCATTTGTCTAAGTCTTCTCCCCTTACTATCTCCCTCCTTCCCCCTCTTCTTCCCTTTTCCCCTCTCTTTGTCCTCTCTCTTCCTCTTTCTTTCTCGGTCTCTTTCTTGTTCGTTGCATCCTACATCAATCTAGTATTAGAGCTCATGTCGTTTCCTCTGACCATCAAGTTTTGCAAAATCCGATCTCCACTCCCTCAACCACCAATTCCCAAATCCCCTTGCCAAAACATATACACTTTATCGACCACAACACACTACCATAAAATTTTTACCCGAGGCAGTAGCAACACGAAAAAAATCTTCCAGTGAGAAGTTTCAGTTCAATCGCTTTCTTGTTCATTGCATCCTACATCAGTTACTTTATTTTAACTTCGAGTTCTCTCAAGTTAAATCAGCTCTATTCTCCATCTAAATAATGTTGTTATTATCAGGGTCTTGGATACCCTAATAATAGTAATCTGTAGTAAAGCTTCCAAAATGACAACTGACATTCTAGGAGAAAAATAGAGATGTCTCCTACATTACCTATAATATGTGGAAATATCAACGTGATTTCATATAGTCATTCAGTTGAAAATCCATTTTCTTTTTAAGCTCTTTTCTTAGAGGTAATAGTAGTCTTTACTTTTCTTTCTCTGGTGGTGGGGATTGGGATTGTCTTTCTGTTTAAAGCTAGATTTACTTAAATAGGTGTCATTGTGCTTGTCTTTGCAGGTGGAGATTAGTACTCGTAAATTTTTCAAAGGTTACACTGAAGGGAGAAGATATCATAACTCTTGGCCTGAGATGCTCAAACTCAAGGACTGGCCACCATCAGATAAGTTTGAGGATTTATTACCCCGCCACTGTGATGAGTTTATCAGTGCACTACCATTTCAAGAATACACGGATCCAAGGGCTGGTATTCTTAATCTTGCTGCCAAGTTGCCAGCAAGTGTCATAAAACCTGACCTGGGTCCAAAGACATATATTGCATATGGGATTGTAGAGGAACTTGGAAGAGGGGATTCTGTGACCAAGCTTCATTGTGACATGTCAGATGCGGTATGATCTAAAATTTCTCAAAATCTTATTTGGTGTGCTTTTTAAAGTAACTTGCATTAATTTCACTAACTTTCACAAGGTCACCAATATATTCGTGGATCTTTGTTTTCTAGTTTGCTGTTATTCTATCTGCACAAATCTCCCAGATTCTGTAACCAATTTTTCATATCCATATTCCAAAAAGATAACTATTTAATTCGTACTTTGATTCTGAAAGATGTGCTATCTAGTATGAACATGAAAATAACTTTTCTTTTATTTAGAGCACAACCTTGTAGTTTTTCAATGGCTAGGTGATAGCTTGATGCATTACAGATTTTATAGCGTTAGAATTGTAAACATAACAATATCAACTTCTCTAGTACAATAAGCAGCAGCCAGAATAAGGCCCTCATGCAACCTTACGTATTTTTTAGTTGGGACTTCATTTACATTTCACTTTAATTTGCATTGGTCCTTGCATATGAGATAATTCTTATTTATAGTGTAATTAGGTGCCCCTTTCTTTTCTCTTTCCAGTAGTGGGTTCTGATTATTGTTTTATGTTCAATAGCAGCACCTTCATTTTGTAGATGTAGTGTACCTCTATCTCTTAGATCAATATAAATGGAAGATGTATGAGCTCTGTGCAGAAGACCTTCTATTTCTGCCTTCTCTTGTTGCTCTAATTTTCAGATGGTAGCAGAGCATTCTGGTTAATGCCGCTGCTATTGCCTTCTTCCTCTTCCACTGGATCCTCCACTGCAATAGGCTGTAAACACCTTGAAATGGGCTTGCTTGAAATCACAAAATAATAAAAGCAGAATAGTGGGTATTTGCAAATCTTGGTTTAGTATCAGATATGGAGCCTTTGCCTTCTCAGCTAATTGCATTTGTTTGTTTTGGTCTGGGGAACTTTTGAGCAAGCTTCTATCATGCACGCCCAAATGAAAAAATGTCAAATTAAGAAAAAGTTGAACCAGATACCCTTAAAGAAGCCCTTAGGTCTAGAAAATGGGGAGATAAAAAAGGCATGAATGAAGGATATCATGCCCTTGTGCAAAACATAACCTGGCACCAAGTGCCTTACTCTTAAAACTATAATCTTATTGGAAACAAGTAGGTTTTACATAGTCAAAAACAATTTTGATGGTTCGACGAATAGGTACAATACAATACTTCATCGCCAAAGATTTCCTCCCCAAGCACTGGGGCTTGATTTCTTCAAAATCTACTCCATCATTAAAGCCAATACCACGTGTCATTCTAACTATCACGACTTAAAGAAATTAGAGAATCATATAAATTGACATCAACAATGTTTGGTAACTTAGAAGAAGTTGTGTATATGCATCACAAACCAAACCTAAACATGTTTGTATTCTGAACAAAGCCCTTTATAGGCTTAAAGGCTCAAAATCTGATTCTTTTCTTATCTTCATATGTTGATATCCTCATCAGTGGTAATTATCAATTGCTTATTGAAAAATTTGTTCATGAATCCAAGATAACTTATTCCTTAAAACCTTTTTTTTTCCAGAATAATTTTATTTTTTCTAAGGCTACAATTCTAACTCTTTAAGTAGAGAATTAATGCAATAGCTTTCTAAAGATTGTCAGACACGTCCTCTTGCTTCGAGGTTTCATGTAGGTTTATCTTGTTGCTCCATTATTATATATATAATCCTCTCTATAAAAATTATGTTTCTATGTTCTTGCGATTCAGAGGAATCTCTTGATGCTTTCAAATAAAACAAGTGGGAGATACGAGGGAAAATTTACTGGAATTGTTGGATTTTCTCTTTCTCACAAGTTGGCATTAAATGGACTTAAAATACTATGCCGCAATTTGGCCCTATTTTCTAAAACTCATTTTTTCTCAAATTCATTTTCAACTACACATTTCATGGGACCAGCAACTTTTATCAATTTTTAGACCATATATTTCATCAACTTTTATCGAAATTTACTAAAAATTTATTTTTTTGCCAAATCAGAGAAGTGTTATATTTATTGAGACATAAGTGGTACTCCTTACTTTTATTGTGACTAGAGATTTTAAAAATTCTTTTAAATCATTTAACGTGGATCTTACATGCAATCTTGTAGCAAAGTTCTACACTAAATATTTTATTAAGCAATATATTTTCATTATTTGAGGTGTGAATTGCAACATCATCAGTTTGGCGTGATTCATGATCCTTAGTTTCAGCAAATATTGCCCTTTCTAAATGATAATAGGAACATTGGTTGTAAGGATAAGGTTAGATATTTGCACTTTGATGACTAATGGATTCGTCTTATGTTAATGCTATCCATTTTCCCTACAACTATTCAATGAACAAGTTTAAGAACTGAAACTTGTCTAGATGATAATTCGTAATGAAATGCAGGATAAGTTTCTCGTTGATTGTATAACACTCTAGATTAAATGAGATATTGTTGCGAAAATAGATTCGGATTCGGTGATAGAAGAATTTATTTTATAAAATCTCTTCGAGCACAACTTCAATAGGTAATATAATGTTTTTTTTATCTATGGAAGCGCTTTACGAGTTCACATCCTATGCGAGTAAGCTACCTAAAGAGCATTGGTTGTGAGGAGAAGGTTAGAGATTTACACTATGATGACTAAATTGATTTGTCTTGTATTAATGCCATGCATTTCTCCCCCAACTACTCAACTAACTAATTTAAGCATTGAAACTTGTCAAAACGACAGTTCATAATAAATTCTATGAAGGATTTCTTGTTGATTGTGTAACACTCTACAATGAGCAAATCTTTCTACATAGATAGATTCAAAGTCAGTGATAGAAGAATTTTATTTTATAAAATCTCAACGGGTACAACTTCAATAGGTAAATATCATGTTTTGATTAAATCTTTGGTTAAATGAGATTATTTGCCTTTTTCGAAATTTTAGACCATTCTAAAATCTTTACTTATTCCATTGCTAGTTGAAACGGGAAGGTCTCAAATTCTGCTCTTCTTCATGGTTGTTGGGAAAAACATGTCTGCAAATGTCAGAGCAATGCTGATTAATCATACTATCTAAAAAAGTAACTTGGGAATTCTACAATATCTTAGATACACAAAACTTGGCGTTTCTTTTATGGAAAATAAATTGAGCAATTTTCTTCAAAGCTTATATGGGCAAGCGACCTTAAGAGTATTGGGGTATGAGAAGGATCTCTATATTATGCATTGCATAATTTAAGGGATAATTGTAGTTACTATTCTGAACCTTTTAGAACTTTGAAGTTTTTATTCTAACCTTCCATTTGTTGTACCGGTGGTCCCGAAGCTTTCAAAAGTGTGCGACTGAAGGACAAATAGATGGAAACTATCCATTTTTCATTAGTTGATCAGAAAAATAACTTTGACTACATTTTAATCAATTTAAAAAAAGGCAAAATGGTAAATTTAAATTTGTCAATAAAATAGTTAAAATAGTTGAATGAAAAGCGAAAAGATTAGAAAAGAAATAAAAAAAAAAAAAGTTAGTTTCTTCCTCCGGCAAAACCATACCAAACCAAACCCAAAATAAAGTCCACCCACCACCACCCGCCATCATTGCTTGCCCTTGAAGAAGTCGTATCTGCATTACCTTGAAATTTTATTTTATTTTTTTCCTTAAAAAGGTGCTTGAGATGGAAGTTTCAATTAATGGAGAAGGAAATTCTGAAGCTTGAATTCTAGCTCGGTGGCATTTGACTGCTCCAAATTAATAATCTTAGGAACACTTCGGGACCTTCAAGGAAGGATCTTCCACTTGCCACTGGACAAGCTGTAGGGATTCTGCAAGCTGAATTTGTTGCAAGAAACGTAAGCATTCTCTTAGCCTCATATAATTTTTGTTTAGAAAGAAATTCTAATGTTCTAGTTACCTTTATTGATAGGTTCATATGGTATATGTTGATCTTTATCAATGTACCTTTTTGGGATTATGCGTTCAATGTGCTCTTAACACAAGGACAAAAAGCATCTTTAGTTGTCCAACCAGGGTTGCTGAAACACTACTCAAATAAGCTAAGTTCTTTCTTCTCCCATTGTTAGTTCTAGTGGAGGCTTCTAAAACTGATAAATGACGCTTGATTGTAGATTCATTGGTGCAAAACAATTTTTGTGTTTAACTTAAAGGAACTGAAGAGAAATGCATAAGATCAAGTTAAATGGGTGTGTTTTGGGGCGTTTATTATTGAAGCTAATAGGTTATTTATCAACGAACATATGTAAAAGACTAAATGGATTATGCCTTCATTCATTAGTTTTATCCAAAGCTTCTCAGGAAATGGTAGCAGTGAAAGTCGAAAATGGGTCTGAGTCAGCTTTGCCTACACCATCAACCATACTTGATTTTTCATGGTGTTGGTTTTAGTTTAAATACGCAAGTTTTCAAGAACTCCTATTCCTATTATTTTGGTTTTCGAGATGCAAGTTTTAGTTTCATAGCCTATTCTCAAAATGTAGTGGTGGCGGTTTGTGTTGGTGGTGATGGTGATGGTTTGTTTGTGCAGGGGATGGGACGAATGGTAATTGATAGTGAAAGCGGCGATCCAATGGTTTTTCAATTTAATTTGGTTTGGGTTTTTTATAAGATTGGGGATCCGGGCCTAGGCACCATTTGGGGTAACGAAATGGATTTGGACATAGATTCAGCACTTGAATGCCCAACTGAAGCGAAGGAGAGCTTGGGCACTTGAGAGCTGGTTTCATCCAACCCATGGCGTATTTCAGTTTTGATGAATTTTAGAGTGCTCTTTTTAACTCAATCATTATTTTGAGGGTTTGAAATGTACTCTTTATAGTTGGCTCTTCATTATATTTGATAAGCTAAAAACCCAAATTCTTGTTTTCCTTCATTTATATTGAATTCTTCTCCTTTGCCCATGGTTTTTTTTTTTAAAATTTTAATTTTTATGTCGATTATTGTTATTTTCATCTTGTCATATTCCTCTCATTTCTTGAATTTAACAAGGGATATCAAAACAAATTGGCATCGTATTCCTTCATAACAA